CTGTTTACCGTTTCACTCAGTCGACTTTCCAATTTTCCCGCAGGGTAGGTGGTCTCGGTTAAGTGGACTGAGGAGACTTATTGATTTTCACTTCGATTGTTGCCTAGCAAAAATGTTCTTTCTTTCTAGACTCTTTTTTCGCGTTCAAGTTAGCCAGTCGTTCTCGGTTATCTCTGATTGTACGGATTTGATGAAAAGATCATTTGAAAGTAGAAGGGCCGGAGATGACGCATCCGAAGCTCGAATTTTCCAAACAGAAATTATCAGTATTATTTGGAGTATGTAGAACCTCCTCAAATTTTCGGTTATATATGTTTGCACCAGTTTATAAAAGAAAATAAGGCTATCACGCATTCTAAATCTCTTTTCGCACATGCATAGCTATCTTTCTTTTCAATCGACGCGCTAAGACAAAAACATGTCCGAACATGGGATATCTTATGTGGAAAGAGGTATTTTCTTATTTGCTAGATTTTATACTTATACCTTAGAAATGCGACATATAAACCTTTGTATATTTATACGTTTTAATCTTGAAACAATCTATTTGTACTATAAATATGCCAACTTTCCGAGGAAACTTGATACATGGAAATTGTTTTCGAGATTATCGCTTTCCAGCAGGTTTCCCCGAATAATCAGCTGATTCATTATCACAACATACATTATATGTATACTGCTATACCTATCACCACATCAAGCACTGTATGAATGTCCGTTTTTCTGAAAAAAGGTTAAATTGTTTATAAGTTTTTGAATCTTCTACTTTCCTCTGTTTACTGTTTCAGTCGACTTTCCAATCTTCCCGCAGGGTAGTAGGCATCTAGTTAAGTTGACTGAATGAAACTCAGGAAACTTATTTCTTTTCACTTCGACTGTTGCCTAGCAAAAATGTTCTTTCTTTCTTTAAATCGGCTGAGTGAAACGATAAGGAGACTTTCGTTTAACTTCGAGCGTTGCTTAGCAACATTCTTCTTTCTTTTCACACTGTGTTTTCGTGATCAAGTCAGACACTGGTTCTCGGCTACCTCTGATCGTACAGATTTCAGCAAAATATGATTCGAAAGTAGAGAAGTGAAAAATGACACCTCTTAAATTATTTTTGGGATTATTGCTTTAGTTATCGTATAATTGACGTCACAAAATGAGTATATTTTTTGGAGACGGCTCTATCGATTCCCCTATGAAGTAATTAATTGTCACGTGATTCAGTTCATAGTGGATATATGCTACAGTACCGGATATGATGAGAACTATACTATAGTAGAATATATGATACGACAATGAGTCAGCTGATATAGGGATATAGGAAATATTTCTTCTTGAAAAGTAGTCAAACTGTTATGAGTTTTTGGATGTTCTAATTTCGTCTGTTTACCGTTTCACTCAGTTGATTTTTCAATCTTCCAGTTGGCATGTAGTTTACTATAGCTTTCATCATATCAAGCACTGTAGTATATATTTACTATGAAGGATACCACGTGACAATTAATCATCTCATAAGAAAAACTTGCATATTTTGTAAGACTAATTATGCGATAATTAAAGCAAATATCTGAAAACTAACTTCAGATGTGTCGTCTACAATTGAACACTGTAGGGAAAGAAAGAAAGAAGATTTTTGCTAGACACCGCGCGAAGTTAAACAGTCGACTTATTGATTAGTTTTCAAAGAAAGATAGATTGAACAATAACATGGTGTGCATGCAACAGATGAGCGATTACAATTATCTACCTGAGCATTCTTTATACTATTTTTATTATTAAGAAAATTGAATGTATCATTTACTTTGTAAAAATATTAACGATAAAACATTTACAAAAAGATGTACGTACGACTGTGCACATCACGAAACTTGTTTTGGGATAGTAGTTTAAATATTTATAGTATTATATATAATTAGTAAACAGATATACCGCATCCGGGGCGTCTATCGTGTGGGACGTTTGAGGCACAACGCTTCAAACTTTTTTGAGGTAAAAATTCATTTTTCAGGTGGTACACTGAAGGCTCGACCGTCTGAGGATACAAAAGGTCTCAAATGCTTAGGTGGGGATAGACGCCGCTGTACCGCATGATCAGTCATGGAGTCTGAAGTTTTGAACTATACTCAATCATTCCATCAAAAAAGCGCGTTGCTCAGGTAGCTTCAACCTGCCAAAGGTAGATGTTCACTTAAACAATAACGACGACTTTCAGGATGATGGATGTAATCAAGCTTTTCACGCTCGTAACGATACTCGTATATTACTGCTGTTCACTATGTAGTTTAATCATCAGGTCAAACTCGAGTACACCATCGTTTAGATAAATGTACTACTACAGCTCCAACATGTTATTTTCTCGCCAAACTTGTAATCAGCATTTTTAAAATAATTCGCTTTGTTACAGTGTGAACAAACCAAATGTTGAAATGGTTTGCCGCACTCGATACACGACACTCGGTATCCTTGTTTGTATTTTTCGTCATACCAGATATTTTCGCCATCACAGTGAGGACAGTTAATATGCTGATAAACCTTGTTACAAGAGTGACACGTTGTTAGTAGACCAGCCGTATGATTGCAGTTTTTCCAGATCATTGGAACACTACAGTGAGGGCAATTCACGTGCTGATAGGCGTTCGAACAAGCGTGACAAGTGCTTTTCAGGCCTGGTTTCCGATTTGCATTTTTCCAAACATTGGGCTTTTGACAGTGGGGACAGTTAATGTGTTGGTATTGCTTTTTGCATGCATGGCAGTTTGTACGCAGACCGGCTTTACGGTCAGCATTCTTCCAAATATTTGGAACTTGACAATGTGGACAATTGATATGCTGATACTGCTGTTTACATGCATGACATGTGGTTATTAAGCCAGCTTTTCGATTGCCATCTACCCAATAATTTTCTTCTTTACAATGTGGACAATTGATATGCTGAAATCGTTTTGAACAATTCGCACAAGCGCAGCTCAATCCAGATATATAGTTCAAATCTTTCCAAATATTTAATTTGCTACAGTGTGGACAAACTACTGTCTGGAATGATTTTCCACAGCTACAGTTAAGCTTTAGACCAGAGCGGGACGGCCACATGCTTTGTTGTGAGCAATGTGGACAGGTTATTGTTTTACCTAAAGTAAAAAACTAGTCAGCAGAATGGACAAGCAACGTCCAATTGCCATACACTGGTCAAATGATTCTTTTGATGACTAGTTAACTGGTGAAAACACCGAACAATTATTGAAATTGTTGACTTTAGAAACGAAGATGGTATAAAGTTGCCCGATCGTTCATTTTGTTAAGCATGTTCTGCTCTGTAGGCTAAATACTCAAAAATAATTTGCACACGAACTATCCAGGAACATAGGTTTTTTCCAAGAATCGCAAAACTAACTGGTAAATACAGGATGTCCCAAAAGTCCGGCGGGAAAAAAAATCTTAATAACTCCGCCATTTCTTAATCAAACTTCAAGGTCGTCTTTTTGTTTGATAGAGAAACGTTCCAAGTTTTATTTCATATGATTGGAAATTTTTGTGTAAAAAAGGATCAGTACGGAAAAATAATAAAACTTCCAACATATGTTTTCTGTTTAAGTACTTGTAATAGTGCGTAAAGATTGTTGAGTTTGTCATAATTAAATGAAATCTTTGTCAGAGTCGCATTACGTCTCATTTTGTAGAACTCAGGTTGCTCTACAATCCCACATATTCAAATGTTTTGTCCAGCTTAAAGTTTTGCCACAAGAAGTTAATTTCTCCATATTAGCATCCGAGGTCGACCAAAACGGATATCCGTTACGGACCGTCTACTGGTCGCAGGAATACGGACCGTAACATCATTAAAATAGGGCCGTATACAGCCGTAAATTCACAGTATACGACCTCGTATTACTGTGCCCAGAAACGGTACCGTTTACGGGCCGTATATTGTGAAAATACGGCCGTATACACGGCCCTATTTTAATGATGTTACGGTCCGTATCCCTGCGTCCAGTAGACCGTCCGTATATGGACCGTATCGTTCGACCTGGGATGATCTAGGGATTGCGACTTCTGCAATAGCCTGATACAACCTTGTACAGGCTTTCAAACTATTCCAGTTTATAAGACTAATAATTATTTATGTTCTTTTCAAAAAGTTTTGCAGCACATAATTTATTAAAAACGAGTCCCAAAATATCTGAATTTCACTATAATAAACCCAAACATCTTTTCAAATATTAACAAGAGTTTCCGATCGTACGAAAGAAAACTTGGAACGTTTCTCTATCAAACAAAAACACAACCTTGAAGTTTGGCTAAGAAATGGCGGAGTTGTTAAAAATTTTTTTCTCGCCGGACTTTTGGGACACCCTGTAGTATTTTATAGGTATGTACGACATATCTATAAGAGGCTACTTGTTTGTTAACTTTATTTTACCTTATTAAAATATTAGTTTAAATCGAGAAACTGGAAGTGAGAACTGTTCCCGCTAACATATTGAAAGCAGAAATCGCTTATTTCGGCTCTTCTGCGCTCCCTTTTGCCAGCCAACTTCTCTTACCACTTCCATTCTTTCCACGGTTGATTTGCAGCACCATTTTTCTGCTTTCATAAAGACATCTGAACGAATGAACCTTTGTGAACTTTTTCTTTCAATGAATAGCTTTCTTGACGAAAACACATGTTTTGCTGACTATTACTTTCTTTTTCGGAAACGCAATTTTGATAGCAAAAGTTAAAAGGCCCTAAAAGGCACAATCTCATTTCAAATCATACTCATATATCAGATGAAACCACCAAGCTTTCCTGCAGACCTCACGAAGATCCTCGTGTAACGTATACGATGTGCGTCCTTCATTTTTCTCCGAGATCACTCTGAAATCGGGCGTAACCTGAAAGCGCTTTGGAGATTGGTTAAATGTTCCCTAATATTAAAAACCGTAGCTTAGTTGTAATTCTTCCATGTGAACTAGCGGATAGCTTTTTATACGACCTGAAAGTCATAATTAGTCAAGAAAGTAATTAGACTTCGTTATTTACTTTTTTTCGGTTTTACTGTATTGACAACAGTAGAGCTAGATTTAATTAACGTTGTATTCGACTTTGCTAGAGAACAGTCAGTAAACTTTAGATCAATTTGTGATTGATTATTTCCACCACTGCCGTAGAAAGTAGCCTGTTTTGTGAAAGATGGCAGGGGATTAAATGATGCACTTTTGGCGTATCTTGCCTGCTCGATTTCCCGCAAATGAACGATATGTATTCCAGCATGAGTTAACGGTTCAGCCACAACAGTTAGACTGGTACCTGGTAGAAGAATAATCTCATCCTCCGATGAGAAAGACGAATACGCTGAAACAGCCTTGCCCCTGCTGCATTCAATCATAAATAGTGTACTATGTGTATGACCTTGTAAAAAGTTTTCAATAACATTAACCGATGCTGAGCAAGATGTAACACACCACCATGTTAATTTAGTATATTTTCGATAATCTTTGCTAATGTTACCTGGTACTCCACGCCAAACTGATGTCTTCACCGACGGTAGTTTGTTCAGGGCTGTCGTGAGTAGTTTCAAATACAGATACCACGGTAATATTGAAGCACTGACACGTGAGCGAAGTGCTTGATTCAAAACACGATAAATACTACGAGTGTTGTTTGTTTCCATAGTATAAAGGTATATTGCTGCCGACTCGTCTTTGGTCATTACCGATGATATTTTACAACGTTGATTTGCGATGCGAACATTATTGGAACCGTTATCAATGAATTCTGTAACTGGTGTTATGGCTGTTTCTAAACTAACCAATGGTGAGTATTTATAGCTGTCAGCTACGGGAGAATAATTAATCGATTCGATATCACAGTATTTTAAACTCATTGTATGAGTTTTATTCGGTTGGATTGAGTGTTATTTCGAAGTTGAAGTTGCTGATTCAATTGAGTTAATACTGATTTCACGATTGTCACTTATTTTTCCTACACAATATGTTATTTTTGAACTTGGAAGAAACCCAACATGACGTCATGAGTAACACTTTGAATAATATACACTTTTGGAGATATTTTTATGGAAGTGTAAACAGAGAAAACGAAGATAAGAGAAAAAGTCACAGAAAAGAAGAAATAGCTAACATGGCATGCTCGAAAACAGGAGAGCGCATACACAAAAGGAGTCTTTTACATAAAAAAGTTAAATAATTCTTTACCATTAATAAGGCAAACATGCAAATTTAGCATAAAAAAAACTGGCTTTTTCCAATATCCATCGCAAGTAATTTATTATATAGCTCAACAGAGAAGTCAAGTTGCGGCATGAGGCGAAAAACGCGCAAAAAGAGTTTCCATCACTCCCACAAATATCAAATCTTTGTGATGAAAAAAAATAAACTATATCTGAAATTAACGGAAAATGGTAATATGACCAAAAAAGTCGACGTAATAACTCGAATCGATGGAAAAGATCAATTCAAAGGAAATCTTTGAGAGGTACATTTTTCTTAGGTTCATTGATTGGTATGAAGTTTAGACTTACTTTGAGCGATCTAGACGGCTTAATCTGAAACTTGCGTAACATAGAGTTAAGTTACATTTTATTTCAAAGTGAAGCGTCTACTCTGCAAATATCGATGAAAATCAGTAGCGTAAGTAGAGCGCGTTGCTCTCTGCTTCTTGAAAGTTTTCTATTTTCTATAGCAAAAGTATTTTAAATCATTTAATTTTACTTTTTCAACCAGCAAAGTTTTATCTACTACGTGGATAACAGTGAAGTTGCTTAATAGTTTTAGGAATAGTTTTTACTGGCTCTGACCTTCAAGGTCAGAGCCAGTAACGATAGTGGCACTGTCGTTAACTGAGAGATCTAACTTGTAGAGTGTGTTTTCGTACGGTAAGACGTTTGGCGTACCACGTCCTGCAAGAGTACCCAAACAATGTCCACATCTTTTGAATATTTTTTAAATATTGAGTATTTATATTTATTTAAAGTTGTTCGGATGCTTTGTGCTTCGACACTACGTGTGTAGCATATGTGCTCGCGAAAAATAATATTTTCGAAGTAGTGGAGATTTTTAATATATTTAACACAAACGTATTACGTGCTATCTTTTTCGGAGTCTTTCTTCAAAAAATTTAAGCCCGAACCCTTTTTTCGAAAAAGAATAAAGGGTACCATACTACACCTTTTTTTGACAAAATCTTTTTGAGGGATTGGTGTGAGATCCAAGGAAAGAACCCTTAAGGGTTCTTTCTGTACTAGGGATGTTACGAACCCGAGCGTTCAACGTTCGAAGTTCGGGTTCGAGTTCGCCTTTAAAAAGTTTGGATTCGGGTTCGAGTTCGACTTTGAACATGTTCGAACCGTCGAGTTCGAGTTGGATATCAAATATTTAACGAAGCAAAGTAGATAATCAGTCAAGTATTATATACTCTCCTAAACACGAGTTTTGCACATATTAATGTTTTCATTTCACTTTTGCACTTTTACTCGAAAAACAGTTTTTGCTACAAACAAAAGCGTGAATAACATAGATTTCTTTTGTTCTGATAGTATGTATTAACAATACGTGTACACAAAAGATGAGTCACAATCGTTAAAAAAGACAGTACATTTGTGTTTAAAAGGATGAAGAAAAAATTCTCAAACTGGACTAGACATGAGCAGGACCAAGGTTTTTTAGTCCCGGAAAGTTTTTATGGTGCCGAAGAAAATTCTTTATTAATAAAGTTTGCATGACGTAGATGTGAAGTTCAATGTCTAGGAAAGAATTGTAAGACTTCCTGACGATTTTTCACAACGTTTCTATTCTAGCATAGAGAACAGGTCAAGTTTTAGCTGATTTTATGGAACTGTCGAAACACATCTTAGTTCTAGTGTTGGTCCCGGTTCAGTCCCGGAAAAAAAGTTATAGTTCCGGTCCTGGTAAAAAACGTTTTGGGTCCCGATTCCAGTCCCGTCGGGGGACGGTCCCGACCATGTTTAAACTGGACATCTGCCCGATAAGGAAGAAATAAATGTTTGACATAAGACTGTTATATGTGATAGATTAAATATGTAGAATATCTTAAAAGATTAAATATTATGATCATATAGACTCAAGACTTGCAGCATCAAAAAAGCTCCAGGCATGTTCTACGAGCCGTGTATAGCTTGCTGGTAAATCTGCGTTAACGTTAATTTAAAGTCGAACTCGTACTTCCGAACCCGAACGCGAACTTTGCGAACTCGAACTGTTCGAAGCCGAACTTCGAACGTAGGTTCGGATTCGTAACATCCCTAGTCTGTACCCTTTTTTTAGAGAGTAGCCCCCTACCAGCGGGACAATAACCCTCACTAGCTAATGAAAAGGAACGAAAGAGAGCAATTATTTATTTATGTACAATTATTACGTTTTTCGATACATATTACTTGCAACTGTTCTAAATCTCTTCCAAATCCTTTATCAATCATAAGCTAAAACTGAAATGATAGATAATTAATAGATATAAATGTATACATACGTTCGATGTGTGTACATCTTCTGAAAATACTGGGCAGTTAATCGTACCTTCTCTAAACCGAAGAAAATAAACTTGGTTTTAAGGATTTTCTTCGTTTTTTGAACTAACCAAGGATGTTTATTATGTCAAGATATTTTAAATCTTTGAAATGATTGTAGAGAAAAATTAGTCACTAGAGACAAACTGAGGAACGAATTAGTGTTCCATTGTGCTTAAGTCTATAGCTTCGTGTTTTTCTTTCCTTCGTTTCATAATGCTTTTCTTTTCATTGATTCAAGACAAAAAACTCAAACATAATTTTTAATCAATCTCTTTGCATTAACCAAGGTTTAAATTTTTTATCTTTTAATAGTCTGCCAACAGACAGTGTGGAAGCATATCTCGACCGAACTATATATCCCAATTGGGATATAAAAATATATCCCGATCGGTATGGTTGCAAGAAGGAAGTATATCCCGATTTGGGATATACTTTCCTCAGGTAGAGCAGTAAAGGGATGGACACAATAGAGGACCCGAGTCTTATATCGCGTCCTAGCGCTCATAACTTTGAAGGGATCTTCTAAAGCGTCCATAAAAAAAGCCGATTTTAAGCTGAAATCGCCTGATCGAGAGTTCGCACTGTGTACAAAGCTGTGTACGCACACTTCTTTTTGTCTAGCAGCTGTATATTCACTCTAACCCAGGTCGTCCATTCCGGCGTCAGGATCCTGCCAGATCTAACGTCGGAACATGCCGGAATTTGGTGAAATCCGGCAGCAACCATACCGGATCATGCCGGAAATCCATTGCTCGGAATCTGTGCCGGAAGATGTTGGAAAAGATCCGACCGGGTCCGACATCTTCCGGCCGATGAACCGGATTTCGCTGGATTTGGCAGAATGTGACCAATTTTAAGGTTAAAAATAGTCTTCAATTTTTTCTTTCATTTTCTAGTGGTTCTTCTCTCTGTTCATTCGAGAGAGTGGGGGGGCCCGCTAGCTAGGACGTGTATAACACGTCCGTTGAACAGTGTGAGCGATGACTCACATTGTTAAGAAAAAAATATCGGAACGCGAAGGAATTGAGCAGATTCCGATCTCCGGATCCAGTCGGACGTCCGATCTTTGGAAATCACCGGAATTAAAAGGACCCGCCAGGATCTGATCGGGTGAATTCGACCTGGGAACAGCTGAGGGAAAAGACGAACGCAAAGATTAGTGTTTGATTGAACCTCAAAATCAACATATTTTAGGTCAAAAAATCGATAAAAGAAGGGGGTCTTCTAACGTGGTTTTTGCGTTATGAGTTCAAGAGGGATCTTGTAGCAGGGGGTCTTCTATCGTAGGGGGGTCCTCTATTGTGTCCATCCCTTTAGTTTAAAACTAATATGGCACTTGTAGTGCAAAGATGATATAGGACATAACAGATCAGCTGCTAATCATATCTTGATAATTTAGGTTCCAGTTGCTGTTCTTCTTCGAGATGTTTGCTAGTTTCAGCGTTATCGCTTAGGGGGCGGTAGTGAGTGGAAATCCATCCCCACGTTTGGATAAAGTTACTCAAAAAATTTTGACTTACTCAGAAATATTTTAAGTCATCATAAAAGTCCTCTCTCCTCTTCTGATCTGATTTCACAGTTAACAATGCGTCAAAGTTCTCGATTAGGTCATGATAGTCGCGTGTTTATTCCTTGTTTAATGTCAGAATCTTTATCTAGCTCTTTTCTTCCGTGAACATCAAAAGATTGGAATGAACTACCTTCTGGTTTAGTCTGTCAAACTTCTTTAGCCACATTTAAAAATATACTGAGAGGTTACACTGGCTTTTAATAATGTTATTTTGTTAATTTTTAGTTTTAGGTTATCACAGAGTATCCACGGATGTCACAAGTTTTTTGTTCTTTTTTGTGATATTCTGCTCTTGAGTAAAATAAAATCTTATCCATCTGTCTTAGGAAATTTAAGTTGAGAAACTGCTTTTTATGCATCTGAGTAAGTGATTTTTAGATACTTTAACTAATCTGTTTGCGATACATTTATAATTATTAACGTGTTTAATATTAAGTAACCACTATTGAGAGTAGTGGAAATTAATGAATAAATGTAACTGCTGTGAAAACCGTTTTCTTCATATTACTGATGAATCTTGTTTTAAAATAAAATATAATGAAAAAACATCAGTCTTAGACTGATGTTTCGTCAGCTAATTGAATTAGCTTAAAACATGCAGTTACTTTGAAAAAACTTTTAGTCAAAAAATGCGTTACTCAAGAAAAAACTTTAGTTATTCAGCAGACTATATTAAAAAAAGCCGCCCCTGCGTGGACTTGAACCACCAACCTTTTGGTTAACAGCCAAACGCGCTAACCGATTGCGCTACAAGAGCACATTATCGTCGATA